TTCAGGTATACAAGTGCCTATCACCTAAGTAATGATACACGATTTATTCCTCTGTGTACATTAGCATAAATCCGCATGCTATTAGTAAGTGCTACAAACAATAACAGTTGTTCTCCTACAGCCATCTACACCACACTCAGTGTTCGTGAACCATGAGATCTACTATGCATCACATCACCTCTACGAGCGCGAGGCGACCAGCGATCTATCACTTACACACTAGCCTACACTAACCCATCCTTTACGAGCAGCTAAAATTAAGATTAAATTAGTATAGAAGTGGTGTAGTAAATACAAATACGAGCGGGCTTAAATGTACTTTCGTGACTGTATTACTGTTATATACTTCATATAACATCAAGTTGAAGTAATTTTTGAAATAATTGCACGGCATTAGGAGATCATTAAGTGCCCGATCCGCCATACAGTAGTAGCCTACCAGACATAAATCTACCGTACTATATCAGAGTCCATGATCCATTGCAGCTGGCTTCATTATAATTACATTTATTTATCAAGGGGGCGGTCTCAAGTCACGCTGGAGGTTTTCCTTTGAGCGAGGGCAGACCCCGTGCCGGCCACGGCCCTCGCGTTTCAAACTGTCTGAAATGAGGTGCTACATCAGTAGTGTTGTCACTCAGTCATCAGTTTCTATAGACTATCTGGATTTAGTTATTACGTAATAATTATTGTGTTCCCACGAATTACTAATGCGTGGGAACATAATAACTAATTTGTGGCCACGCATTATTAACACGTGTTAATAATTTTCTCACCAATGTCACCAGGGGGGCTCCGTAGAAACTAAAAAAGGATTCAAATATCAAAATATGTGTAAAAGTGAAACATGAAAATAAATATTTTATTCCAAAAAATTCCTGAGCTGAATCAAAATAGTATTCAACCTGAAAAATTATTTCAAATACTTTTTTTTTTTGTTTGAATACATCATTGTATTTTTCAAATTTCAGGATAAAAACTTTAACTTTCAAATAAACTTTCAAATAAACCTGAAATAGCTCCATATTTAACACTGTAATATTAGGATGTCTGACCGCCAGATGGCAACATTTGGGTATTGTTTTGCCTGAATTCTTCATTATAATGTGATCATAGCTTGTTATCCAAACCGGCTGTGTATGTTCATTGAGGTAAATCATTTATGTTGACATGTGGACTTGAAAGTGTGAGAGGTTTTTTTTATTTACCTTTTGCTAAAAAAAGTACGGGGTATAGCTTGAATGTCAGCATGAAATCTTGACTTGAAAATTATGTCTAAATTAATTATAATTTAGATGCCGGTTATATATACTGCGAGTGTCTACTTTTCCCCTTTGGCACTAATCACAGCTTTCATTTTAGTTTGAAGCATCTGTAATTACCACATAATTTCTACTCCAGTCAAGCTGGAGAGATTTTCATGGCAGCCTAGCAACAACCAGCATACAGATAAAGACAAGGTTGTGAAGTGAAGCCAATTAACTAGCAAGCTAGAGACCAAACTTTTAGTTGTTTTTGTATTCTAGATGTGTGAATAGACAGTTAATTGCCTTATACCAGTCTTTACAACATACTGAGATTCTAATATGTCAATATGTGTATTTTGGAGATCCTATGCCCTCTAGTGGTCAAACATATATAAATGAAGCTTTAAAAGAGAAAAGGTTTGGACTGAAGAGGAAGATGTATTCCTTAAAGAACAAAGAATATGAAGATTTACATCTCTATTTGTTAAAAAACAAAATGTTATCCAAAGTATCAACGTCTCTTGAGTAAGTACAAACACATCTGTCTTCAGCTCTGTGACAATCTTTCAGATAAACCAAAAGATATATATTTTTGAACTATTATTTAAAATGTAGGAGAACATTTTATGCTAAACTAAAATGGGAGCGCTCAATTCTTCAGATTTTGACCAAAACAATTGATATCAATTGTAATATTCATCCATTAGAGATATACTGTATACATATGTACGAATGACAATAAAAGCCTTGAATCCTTGAATCTACATTATAATTATTATTCTTATGTATACCACCAGTTATGTAACCAAAAAAAGAACAGAACACACTTGTTGTGGGTATATTTAATGTAATTAGGAAGCCAAGAGCAGATTATCTCTCAATTATCTCTTAAAAAAGTAGCCTACATTATTAAAAAAAAAAAATCTGATCTTTATTATCAGGTAATACATATCTGATAATAATACAAATCAGATATTTCAAATGAAAAAGACAACCTGCTTTATAAACAGCAAACAAGAGCGGACATCATGTAATATGTTTCAGCTTCAATCTGTCTGCTTACAAGCTGCTGTAGAGGAAAAGATGAGACAGATATGATAACATGGAAACTCCTGGGTAAATGCCAAGGTGATGGAAAAGCAACCTTGGGCATGAAATAGGCTGTGACTATCCTGTCAGCGTTACTGCTCCAGGCAAATCTATGAAGCCTGACATCATAAACATTTCATAAAAAAGACATCTGTCATCTGTCTACCGTGAAGTTGTGAAATTCTCGTGTCCGCCATGACAGCTGCTGTTTAATGAAGCAACAAGACTAATCTACCTGGAAATATGTATGTTTATCTGCATAGGTTTTGAAGTATTTCGGAGAACAAGAATATTTTTAATATAAGTTGCCAAACCAAGATTATGTTTCTTCTTTCCTTGAAACCCCTAACAATAAACTGATGGATTGTTTTTTTTCTGGACTTCCTTCTTCACTGTTTTCCTCATTAGCATTTCTTGATTCCCCCCAATTGCACTTTCCACTTCCTCTGTCAACAAGTATTTCCCCCCCCTTTCGCTATTCCTCACGCAGCTCTCATTCTGGACTCCCAACGAGAGCAGATGAACAGGAACTAGTTGGAGACTTGGCACTGATTTGAACTGAACAATTTCAAAGTGAAAACAGATGAAAGCATCATGGAAGGAATGGGTTAAGGATGTCTGTCCATTATGCTGAAAGGGAGGAATTAATCATCCAAAGCGACGTCACATTTTGAGAAGAAAGGAAGATCTGGTAACAGTGAGCTAGGTCTTTATTCTTGGGACATCTTTGGAAATATATTGCTGTGAGTTGGCAGCCAGCATGCTCCCTTTCCCAACAAGGAGATTGCCTACATCAATTTTTCTGGACCACAAACTCTACTACCTACTCCTAAATGTCTGTTTTTGTGCAACAGCTTGGCCACGTGGTGAGTATAAGGGATTTGTTTTAGTCGTTACTGAAAATAGTATTTGAGAGGCTTTTACATCACATGGCCTCTTCTTTGTGAAAGGGTTAGGGTAAACTGGTTAAAGAAAAAAAGCCTGTGGACTTTATTGCTGACTAACAGTGGAACAATTCTTCGACAATGAGTCACTTCTGCTGCTAAGACTTGTCTCAGTTCATGTTACAGACTCTGTGTTCATCACACATTTTTTTGAATGACACGTAACTTCTCCTGGTAAAGCTAATTTACAACCCTTAATCTAGCTAGTTAATGAAGACATTGAACACATTAGTGAGGGTTCGATATCTGGGAGGCTTTTGTATTTTATTTAGCACAGAAATCCATAATTATTGATGGAAAGAAATAAACCTGTGATGATGACAATTAGCTATAGCTCCTTGTGAGCTTCAATCCACTTTCCACTGCCCTGTTGTACGTTTATTCAAACCAAATTGGGGGTTTGGGACATATCCCAAGCTGTGAAAACATGGTGGAGCATTGCAGGTCAAAGTTCATAGTATTCCATGGCAGCTCAAGGTTTTGAGATTTGGTTTGCAAATAGTACACGGTTTAGCTTGAGCATAGTGGTGTCATCCGCAACAAAATCACCTGCCATAAAATATTTCACAGTTCAGGAGTTTGTCCTGTCATCATTATTTGTTATAGATGTGTTCGACCAGAATTTTGCATCTCCATCATCATTTAAGTTATGCTAAAAAGGCACGTTTGAACCTCAACACTGTTTCCTGCGTGTCTATAACCACACCAGAAGAAAGCCCTTTTTAAACATTAACATATATAAATGTTTGTTATCTGCTGTAGTCTTCCTCATCCACGTTTTAAGAACTGTGAAACATGAGTATTAGAAGTCAGAGGTGTCATTAGGTGCATTTGAGGTCTATTGCTTCCTTTCTCTGCTTTGTTTCGACATTTCTTACAGGGGACAACTGCCCAAGCTTTCAGTGGAACGCCATGTGTCGTCCGTGTTGTGAGTACCAGCTGATCCAGTGCCGCTGTCCCTCAAAAGGGTCGAGGGTTGGCTACACTGTCCCCTGCTGCCGCAATGCTCTGGAAGAGTGTGACCCCTGTATCTTTCACCCAGGTACACTCTCATCAACCCTTATATATACTATTATAATATTATTTGTTATAATCTATTACATTCAATACTTAATCTTCTTTCTGCCTTTGTCTTTGCCAGGCTGCAGTCTGTTTGAGAACTGTAAAGCTTGCCACAATGGGACATGGAAAGCTAATGACGACTTCTTCGTCAATGGAAAGTATTGCACAGAGTGTCGCCAAGGCTGGAGCGGAGGGGACTGTAAAAGTGAGTTACTGTATGGTTGCTCGAATGCAGTATGTGAGACTCTTTTTGGCACAGTACCATTTATGTAGGCCGAATATTCTGAATCAAATTGCTGATATGAGAAAATATGGTGCACAAGGTAAATATATTTTGGAAATACACATTGATGCAGTTTTGAACAAGATAAGATAAGATGGACCTTAAGTAATACCCATGGGGAAATTCCGGAGTGTTCTATAAGTGTTTTCTTTTAAAACATCCGCACAACTCTTTGGCTGAATGCATTCTTACATTTTTTGATTAAAATGTAATAAATTACATGCAGAATATAATATAAAGTCAACATATGAAATGAATAGTTAAGTCTCATAATGCAAGGTACTCATTCCACAATGATAGGGCTCTTGAAGACAGACAATATCTGATAAATGTAAAACTGCTTAATGTATTACAACGCCTTTAAAAAATTGTTTATCCAGCATTTGTAAATATGTATTGTAATTGTTTTAATTATAAACCTAAGTTAATGTTCCATCACATAATGATTATAAATTGTGGTTCACAGTGTTCAGATTGCTGCACCCAAATCTGTAAAACACCTTTAGAACACTAGGTGGCGACAACGTTTTTTGATTTGGTTTCTGAAAAAATAAATACATGTAATTAAAAAATAATGAAGAAATTATGGATACTTTTAAATGTTGTTAATAATTGAAAACACATCGAGCTACAGCAACTCCCATAAGGCACATATGTACTCGTAACATGTTGCTATTCATAGTGGAAAGAAAACAAGTTTACCTGCTGGTTAACTGCTCATTACATTTTATAAATGTTATCGTTGATGGCCAATAATTGGCCCTTTCATGCCATTCTCTCATGTACTAATAGTTTAAATAAATAAGGAGAAGCTTATGTTCAACCTCAATTGTCCTAGATAAGCAGTTTAGAGTCTTTATAGGTAAAGTGGCCAATCATTCAAATGTGAAGGCTGCATGATTAATCAATTAATTAATTAATTAATGATTAATTAATTGATCTGTTACGGTAGCAGTGTTTGCAAACATGTTTGTGAATGGTTAAATTGTTAAACATTTGAAAATCTTTAACCAGTAAATGTCAAAATAAACCTAAATGTCAACCTTCACCAAGTCCCTTTTAGCAGCAAGGACTGAGAGAACTCAATTTGTTGAATATTTAATATCTTGTTTAGCTTTTGTATTCATCTGAAAAACACACATAACAGCATGACTCCCAGCATGGTGTTTATAATCATGGTTTTTGAAGTGGCTCGTTGTATCCCGTCATCCCAATAATCTTTTTGGAAATGATCTACCCTCTTAAACAGCATGCCACATTACTGATCCTCCTTTCAACTGTAAAAATATTCAGTGCTACTGTGATAAACACACATTTGTTGAGAATGAAAGTATGAATTTACCAAGTGAAAGTGATTACAGTTCTCTTGTTGGTAGCATGTGGAGACGTCATTCAACGGGCCCAGGGTCACATATCCATGGAGAGTTACCCAACAAACACCCGGTGTGAATGGACAGTGCAAGTGGGGAGGGACAGCAGCATCGAGCTGAGGTGGGTCAATGTTTTAACACTTACATGAACTGTGTCTGACTTTACCAACAATACAGTTTTATCAAAACATCAGTTTAGACACTCGCAATCCAAATTGTATATTCTGCACTTCCCAAACAGTGCCTTTTCACTGTAACCTTATTGTTTACAACACTGGTACATTCACCAGAGGCATGTAAGAAAAACATAGTTTTAAAGACTTCAACATGGGGAGTGTCATAGATACATTCATCGTTAAAGTCTTTTAAATTGTTTTAAAAAAAAGTACATAATATTTGTTTGGTTATGCTGCAGGTTTTCACTGCTCAGCCTGGAATCAGACCATAACTGTCGTTATGACTATGTTGAGTTGCGTGACGGCAACGATTTGAGCTCCCCTGTGATTGGAAGATTTTGTGGGGATCAGCTGCCTCCTCCAATTAAAAGCTCTGGGAACAACGTGCACATCCTGTTCTCTTCAGATGGATTCAACAACTTTGATGGCTTTGTTCTGACATTTCAGGAAAGTTCAGGCAGGTATAATTGTTGTTAGTAATGCTTCTTTCACATAAGACAAATTAAAATAATTACACATCAGTATGATGCAATCTTATACAAGTACATGAAAATCATCACCCTATAAAAAAAAATTCAGGCGTGTTTTTGCAGTAAAAGTATTGTTGAATTTATTCTCATGCATCATAATGTGTGGTGTTGCTGTTATTTTTTCCACACACTCAGCATAGAAGGTAATTTAATATCTGGATTGGAATCTATCTATCTGGAATATATCAGTCTGATTTATTCTCATTCAGGATATATATATATATATATATATGTATTTTTTAATTTTAATTCTTTTTTAATATCTTTTTTTTAAACCTTTTATGCTCTTAACCTTTGATTTTTTATATTACCATATTTTATTCAATATGCTCCTTTAGATGTCTTTTTAATTTATTTATTTTATTATTTTCTCCTTATAGCTTTGTGAAGCACCTTGAGATGACGTTGTCTTTAAAGTGTGCTATATAAATCAAATGTATTATTATTATTATTATTATTACTATACTGCAGGTACTTACTGTGATTCTTCCTTCACATGATGCAGAAAATGCTTTGCTCTCCCTTCATGCATGCAGCACATCTCTTTGAGTGCATGCACCATGTTTGCTCTAGGACTTTTTTTTTTATATTCTGCTGTGTGTGTGCGCAGGCTCCAATACAATGCAGTGATGTGAGACGGACAGTCAGCGACACAGATTTATTACTTTCATCCCTCCCCATTTGCCCCCTTTGAATACAATTATGCATCAAACTTATCCCATTTATCCAGTTTTTCCCCTCTGGGACACTTTTGCTATAGCTAACCTGAACATTATCACAGTATTACGATCAAAATTATTAACCCTTTTAGTGCCCCTCTTAGCAATATTAAAGTAAAGCTTATTTTAATAAGCCAAAGAAAGGTTAAAGTATTTTAGCATAATCAATTATTGGGGAAAAAATGTATCGTTTTTGGGCTGGTCAACTTTAACTTTTGGTGGCCTCCAAGGCAGTGGCCTGGGGCTATTATTCTTTTTACTGTGTACGTAATAATTGAATAAGAAAATTGCTCATGTGGTGAATACAGCAATATTAGAATCATCTGCCAAAAATGTATCGACCATGAATGTCAAAGTAATAAATACTGGATCTCGTTGAGAAAATGAATAAGATCTAGTTAGATAATCTCAAGGATCTCATACAACAACCAACTGCTGGGCTTTAGTGCATGTTTCAAGCATTCACCTTCTGCTAAAACAGTTTTCCACAATATATCAAAACAACTTCCCTACAAACATAATTTTGAAAAAGTTAGGTATTCTTGAGAGAACTATACATCATACACAGAATGGTTGCTTATCCAATCAGTTATTTCCATAATTACGCAGCAAGAGGTAACTCAACTTAAATATTTTCCTTTTAAGGCAGAAAATGTGTTTACATACCACAGCAGTTTTTCAACAAATCTGGATCAGTAGCTCTATAAGAGGATTGATGAGATTTGAACCGTTTTGTGAACTCAGTGAACTGTAAACATTTTGGCTGTACCTATTGTAATTTTCATTGGAATGGAGGTTTCTCTTTAATTTATCACCCACAAACTATCTTCACAGGTTCAGCCATCAAGAATCCAGAGTGTATACTTCCAGAGAAACCTGTGAATGGGTATTTGCTGCCTTATTATGGATCAAAGGAGGAACTTGCATCTGTACATTACCGGTGCCATCTACCTTTTACACTGATAGGCTCCCAGCAGAGGATCTGTCTGCCTAATAGCACATGGAGTGGCACAGTTCCTATGTGTGTCAAAGGTAAACTCCACTTTCCACCATTTGGCATCTGGTTCTTATGTCTGGTGTTTTTCCAGTTTAAAACCCACACAATTATGTGTCTTTGTCTCAAACACATAATTCATGCAGGCCGAACAAGCAGAGTCCGGTGTGCCCCCCCCTCTAAATTGCTCAATGGCTACCACAGACCTTCTAGTGATACAGCTGGAGGTGAAGAAACCATTGGATTTTTCTGTAAAAACTCTTACATCCTAATTGGAAACCACCTGAGTACCTGCCTCTCTGATGGATCCTGGAGTAGCAGGCCACCCAAGTGTTTGAGAGGTAGCTGTTTTCAAAAAGACATTAGGGTTGGGAATAAAATGTTACATACCCAAAGTTGCCTATTTTCCGCATCATTACAATGTAAGGACTGTACAACATGTGTCCAATATGCTGAGTTTGTTTGCTTATCTGACAGCCTTATACCTGGAAAGCCACATTTTCCTGAGTGAAAAAGTAAAAATTTATAATGAGAGCGCTATGATGAATATACATATATATTGATATAATAATAATACATTATTTTTCAACAAACAAGTTAGTCCCTTTTAATGCATGCATAGAATTGTTTCAATATCCTCTAAATAATACACGCTTACAATTATTCATGCTACTAAAGTTGTTTTTGTTAATGTCGAGGATACATAAAGCGATGAGTCACCTGCTTTATTTGCCCCTACAGCATGTCGGGAGCCCAAAGTGTCGGAACTTGTGCGACAAATTGTTGTGAAGCCACATCGGATATCAAGGTACTTAGATCCTGTTTTGTTAACTCAGTCTATTGCAGCATTATTTAAGAAAACAAAAAATTCCTCTGTTTCGTTTTTATTGTTCACTAACACGAACAAGTAGGCTATAATAAGTAAGTAGTGATTAGATAAGTAGTATTATATTATATTATTAATATTATTATATTATTATATAGTATTATATTATTATTATTATTATTATTATTATTATTATTATTATAGTAGTATATATTAAATAAGTAGTGATTGGAGGTTCATCATTAACCTTCAAAATGGTAGTTTGACCAAAAAACAACATTTGCACAAGGAAATAGCAATCAGTTTGCTTATAAAGGCAACAAGATGTGGTTGAAAGCTCTAGACTAGAACAATCTGTAAAGTGAAGGCTACCTTTAAGTATGCATACTGTTAGAAAAATAGCAAATAACAGATTTGATCTTTTCCACAGCGAGAATCTAGACCAAAGAATCCCCCTTTCATCAAGATACAACATGCATGATCTTTTATCAGCTGGCTTTATTCCACTCAAATTGAATAAACAGTCAGAAAAAGACGACACCGGTTTCCTGGAGTTTCCTAAAGGTTTTCACCCAGTGCACACGAGGATTGAGTACAAGTGTTCCTCCCCGCTATATCGCCCCACAGGTAGCACTCGACGCACCTGTCTGAGATCTGGCAGGTGGAGTGGGCGCCATATTTCCTGCTCACCAGGTGAGAGCAGCAGCATTATAGACCCAGCTACTGAACTATAGAGTGAGACTTTATCAAAAGTAGTTGAACCTGTTTCAACTAATAGCCTACTGTATGGTGGGTAATCTTTAGACATATATTGTTTATAAGTTAACTAACAATTCATTGACAATTTTCATGATTCTTAAGTGTGCCGTTAGCAGCCCAGAAGAAACAGATTACACTACATTTTAAAATGAACCATCAACCCTGCAGTTCCCACGTGTGGCCACAGTGTCAGTTTAAAGTTACATAGGCTCACTTAGAGTATTACAGTAGTTTGGCGTTTTGGCAAATGGTTTTCTCTAGTCTAGAGTGTTAGAAGAAAAGATCGACACTTATTTCACGTCTGCATGGTGAATATTAAGCTGGAACCAAAATGTGGTTAGCCTAGCATAATGACTATAAATGAGATTTACAGATCAAATTAAGATTACTACATGAAGGGCCTTTAAATGTTTGAGAAGGCAGATGAATGATATTCATATTGTATTACCTTAAATTACTTTATAAGAAATGAAAGGTTCTAACCAATATTATGCACATCCATTCAATTAACATTGTTTCTCCTCTGTGACTGCTACTTTCCCACAGTTTGTGGCAAATTCAACACTTCCAATCTTCTACACAACCTCACGGACACGCTGTTGCCATGGCATGCAGCCGTCTATATCCGCACACCTGCTGAACATACTGGCAGCACCCACAGGCCCAGTGGAGAAGCCATTTCTCTCCAGCAGGGGGCCTCAGAGGAGTCCACATTCTGGCTCCTGGCCTGCAGCGGGGCTCTGCTCACCCAGCGGAGCGTCCTAGTGGCCGCTCGGTGTGTGGTAGACAAGGACAAGCAGCAGACCCTCCACCCAGCACATGTAAAGGTTGTCACAGGCCTGCAATACCAGACATCCAGGGGTCGTCAGAAAAGTCTGCACCATCTCAGGGTAAAATGCAGTCCGTTAGAAAACACAGTTTGGGGGGAAATCATTCAGACCCTTTTATATTTTGAAACTAGGCTAAATTAGTGTAGCCCTCCTGTTGTCTTCGGGTCAAATCTGACCGATTTACTACTTTCATCTATCACAACTTTTTTGTTTTACATTCGATTGCATAACGGCTTTATGATATCCTTCACAATAGATATTTGAACATATACAATTGCTGATCACCACTTTCATTGCATTTTTGATGATTTAGTCAACTTTGTAACACCCATGGTGTTCCCGGTCAAAAATGACCGCCATAAAGAAAAGGAATTAGTAACCATCCGAATCAGATAAAACACACACCCACCCCCACACAAACACATACTCTAGATGTCCCCCCCCCTTATGTGCCCAATCCCCCCATGTGAATCACACCTGGCACACACAAACACACACAAACACACACACAGAACAATTTGACACATTTCCCACTCTTATGTGCCCATCCCCCCACATGGATCACACCTGGCACACGCAATACATTTTCGGTGTCTATTCTTTGTATATGTATTGCAGTTTGTCATGTATACTAGTCGTCTGATACAATATTTACAGTTTTAAAAGGTGTTAAATGAAATTTAATTTTTTTTAAATTTTGGTGTGTTAATGTAATAGGAGTTAAAACAGGACCGGTCAAATATGACCGCGAACACCAAAGTAAGGGGGGGGAAACGAAGAAAATAGGAGGGTTGGATTTAAAGATGTATTTTCTCTCAAGATAATTTAAATGGCCATATTTCAGAGTGTAAAGTGCAAGATGAAATAGCACTTTAAATAGTGGTAGAAATTGGAGGTATTGATGTCTAAATACCCAACAACATGTATCCTCCCTTTAACCAAGAAGCCTAAACTTTTAAATTACAAACAACATGCTTATAATGTTGTTTTTATTTCGATAATATGCAGTGCTAAAAAGTTTCTCTATGAATGCAAAATATACCAAACGGCAGATGCCGTGATAAAGTCATAAACAAGGAATGGTCATTAAATAAATATAATCTTCTGGATAGGTTTTTGTCAGTACCGTAAACGGAAAAGGAAGAAATCCTTTGGGATTTAGATGTACACTTAAAGCTTTAACGGGATACAACTTTAATTGATTTGGATTTAAAATCTCTGCGCATTCTGGAGCATATAATCTAACAAATATCCCAAAAACAACAAACGTTGGCAAATTCTAAGTTTCTTTAGGCTCTCTCAGGTATTCTAGCTTCCAAGTTTAATCCCTTGTTCTCTCTTTCAACAGGTTTCAGATATTTTAGTCCATCCAGATTTTTACTCTGCACCAGACTCCCAAGTGGCTGTGCTTAAGCTAAGAGACAAGGCCAAGATCAGTGAGCGTGTGTTGCCAGTGTGTCTACCCAAAGTTCAAGGTGGAGAGGTCACAGCGTTTGAGGCTTACACTTCGAGGTGGATTTTACCAAAGGATCACCTTAGCGGCAACACTCCCTCGAGCCAGACAAGACTTGTTGAGTTGGTTGATGTTGCTCAATGTGAAAGGGAATTTGCCAAAGGAAGAGCCCACACAACAATGATCAGTGACAATACACTGTGTGTCATGAGGAAGTCCAGTTCTCAAAAGCCCTGTTCCAGTGTTATTCCAGGTATCACAACCATGCCAGCTGTGTTGACATCAACAAGCGGTGACTTGCCGGGTCACAAGGAGACTCAGGGAGCTTCAGGCTCTGGCTGGCAACTTCTTGGTTTAGAGAGTTATAGCTACAAGGAAGAGAACTGCCACCAACAGACTTACACAGTTCAAACAAGAATAGCTAATTTCCGAGACTGGATAGAGAAAAATATGAAGTAGGTTTACCCTCTCAATATTTAATGTAGAGCTGATTTATCTGTAACCTCTCAGATGGTCATTTATTTCCAGGTCGTCAATATCATGAAGAGTGGAACTCTACTCGTATATCTTATGTGTACATGTCATTGTTCTGGATTTGGGCCACTTCAAACAACTCAACAGGATCTGCTTAACACACACAATCACATGCTCATGATGTGTGAATGTAATGTGGTGCTGTGTATTTTTCATAATTTTTATAAAAATGGTTTTAAAAATGTAAAGAAACCCAGCAGATGCCAGAATATTATAACATAGAGTTATTAATGACATTACCACTGTCAATTAAGAAATGTTCTTAAATACCTGATTATCTTTTAAGCCCTGTCTGGGTCTAGCTATCTCTAGGCGTCATTCCAAAAGTGAGCTAACCATTAGCAGTCAGGTGTTATTGTTTTTTATTTAGCATTTATTTCCTCTGGATTAATTTTGATGCATATCTTATTTTGCTTTGTTACTTTAATGTGTTACTTTACTTTAAAATGCAGTTTATATTTTTTATCATATAATGATTTATAATATTAAACAACACCATATCATATAAATGAATACACTATAATAAAAAGCCATTTTAATATCCCAAAAATGCTCCATCCCTGATCACTGCTGGCTCCAGGCTCCTGACCTCTCTGAGTATCCAGGAGATAATCATTTTCCAAGAAGGATAAGTCATTATCTGCCAAGTAGGGCACACAATGTGCAGACTTGCATGCAATTATCTTCTGCTGAATTGTTATGAGACATAAGGAAATTTTTCAATTTAGTTTGCATGTAAAATCTAAATTCCCAATTTAAATAGTTTACATGCATTTTCAAAGCAAAACTCCTGATCAGTTAAAATGTAATGATAGATCCTTTCCTTAATTTGTATGCATTTCCAAGCTGTTCATGTGTGCAGCAGTACATCACATATGTAAAGCATGTCCTAGCATCTATCACAGAACATACTGTATGCAGTACCTGTGTGTCTGTGGCGATTGCATGTGAAGCTATGCGTTCCTTCCTCTGTATACTGTCAAACATGTGCTGTCATTCAGAAACACACTGAGAGGATTTGCTAAATTTAGCCATTACTCCTGAGACGTACACACCCGCTGTGCTCTCCGCGGCTTTGTGCAGGACACCTTTTAATCCCGGCCAATTAAACAATGAGTAGCTCAGTAGTCTGTCTCAGATACTTGCAAAGTGGTTCCAACTGATGATTGTTCTGCTTAATTAAATTACTGAACAAAAGCTGCAAAGTCCGGAAACTGCATCACACTCGACACAGAAACAAATCTCTAATACTGCAGAGCCCCATGAGTAAATTCATGCAAATTATAGAAATGCATTGCAAAGAGTATTACATTATCAACATTTATACATTTGAATTGGAATTATGGGCTTTGGCCTTTAATATAGCAGTAGTCTACATTTTTCTGTATGATGTCAAAATACAACAAAAGGGGAAAAGTGTGTTAATCTATTTCATCCTTTAACTGAGAGAAAACCCCACCCACACCTGAGAGCAAGCACTGACCTCTCATCTCAAATCCCCACCCTTTGCTGTACATTTGTGTGCACACTGTGCATGTGCAGGGTGTTAACCAATCACTGAGGGGAGGTGGACAGGATTTGTTTACCTTAGAACATGAGAGGACGAACCTGCTGCAACACCTGTATTATTTCTCTCCATAAACTCTGCAAATCCTAATGCTTCTTTAATTTGACCAACAATTGAGGGACATTTTCTCCAATTAGGAAAGCCCACACTTTTGACGAAGACAAGACTTATACAGGTGAGCAGTTTTTATCGAAAGATGCCTTAATGAAAATTCTTCCTCTTCAGTAACATCCATGCATGCATCTTAATAGAAAACAGGTTATTACAAGTAATGAAAATGTGAAGGAAAACAACATAGCCTGAGATTTCTTCTCAGGGTGACCTCTGCTTTATCCTCTGCAGTCATTCAGCATGTTCCTCGTACTTAAGATGGTTGCTTTGTTAGACAAACTGTATAACATTAAGCTAATACATTAGAGAGGATTTGTAACTATTGTTCTAGTGCTGTGACCTAATTCTGGGAACACCTGATTGTCTTGGTTGGTGCAGCTCGTGGTTGTATTCCTACTCCTACTCCTGACTGAATGGCTTTTTGTAGGTCAACTCAGGATACTGGCAAAATGCCTTGAGTGAAAATCAAAGCAAAGTCTTGAAAATAAGCTATCTGCCTAAAATGATAGAAAAACACAAAGTGTTCGTGAATCTAAAGATGAAGGACTTCACATCTCGGGACAGGAACAAGTGCATTTTATGTTAGAGACAGTCTCTTAAAGCAATGCCAAACTGCTGGCCTTGGGCCCCGTGTGCATCATTAGAGATATGGCGCTCCTTGAGATTCACTCCCACCATACTTCCCGAACTTGAGACAAGGCTGCAAGACGATGAACTTCAAAAGAACAGCCCAAAGGGTAACACTGTAAACCAAGTTGAATTAACTAGACTGTCGGTCACGCCACAGACAGTTTCTTTTTTCACGCTTTGTTGTTAGGGAATTGAACTGCATACATAATCACAACAACCTAAAATAAATAAGATAATGCCATGCCCATTTCAATCATTTTCAAGTCACACACCTTCCAAAATATACAGTGGACCCTTTTTATGTATGTTACATCATTTGGCAATATCTTTTTTTACCAATCCCAAGAGAAATGTACTTGAGTGATGTTAAACATGTATTAAACATATTCTAAAAGTTTCAGATAGGTGAATTATTATGAGATTTTGCTCTGTAGACTTTCCTAACGACTGTATGAAACCTCTTGTTAAAAGAAAACACATATATTTTTCGTTAAAACGACAATATGTCTTTTAAATCTTGCCTACAAAATAATTCTGTCTCATTGTCTCAGATGAAAAGTACACCTTAAAATTGCTGAGGAAAATGCAACCAAAACATCTATAAATAAAAAAAAAGAGGATTGTTTTTATTTCATATTTTTTCAATTATTATATTTTTTTCTATGATCCAATTGGGCTGTGCACACACACAGTGATAGCATTCAGTCTCTCACAGGTCCAGTCTCATTGTGAGGTTGCCAGCTTTCCAAAATGTTTAGCAACACTCAAAAACATAACGGGTAAACTTGGATGCAGTGGGGGCTAACCATAGGCTGTATAAGGGGCCAACCAGCTAGCTAACAAGACACAACACGTAAACAATATTTGGGAGATGTTGAAATATGGGACATTTGGAAATATGGGAGAGATGTTGAAATATCGGAGACGTTGAAATATGGATTGTTTTTCAATGGTGGCTTGTTCCCACTGCTTCCTGCTAAACATGACTAAATATTTTCTGGAACAAGCTTATTTAGTAGACAGATAGAAATTCCTCAATCTTCCCACATGAGAAAGTCAAATCCTTGCTGCAAAAATTGTGAAAACGGCATTTCCTTTTCAACTTCACTCTCAAGTGGATGGCCTGATGGCAGAGCAAGTCAAAAGCTCCTCATCCATCTGAAGTGTTTTGATTGTACATTTCCTGCATAAGTAAGAGTAGCTAAATCTCACTGATGATCAAAATCATCAGTGTAACAGGATCATCAGCCGTGAATCATGCATCTTAGGCCAGTGACAACACTCTATGCCGTCTTTTTTTGGTATGTGTTGAATTTCTGCATACATTTTATAGCATTGTTAAGAGACTCTAAAAACCCTAAAATTATTTGTATTCAATTAACATTTTCATTTACAGTTGGACCTCAAAGTCTGAGCCAAAACCTGGATCCATTTTGCTAATGTTAACCTAAAAAAAATGGTCTTTAATATCCAGCAAGGTACCGCTCCACTGATTGGAAAAAGAAGACCCAATGTTTAGAGGTTAATGTGAAAAACCTTTTACTTATCACCTGTTTTATTAACTTTAAAAACATTTTCCATCTTAGTTTATGGTCTTAATCAGAATAAGAATAACTTTGTTATTCCCACAGAGGGGAAATATAAATTGTGACAGCAAAAGTGAAGACAGAGAAAAAATAAATACAACACTATTAGATAAGAGCATGCACATAATCTGAAAAAATTATTTACAAGTAACATTTGTAATTTATTTCAGTGATCTCGCAGTCTTTATTTGTTTTTTTGTTGATTTTACATTATTAGATGTTGGTGAAATTACACAAAAGTGGTGTCTTAATCCCTGGTTCAAATACTATTTCAATACAGCAGGATGTTCATTTTATAAATGACGGTCCCATTTGCGATGAAATAGGAAAGAAAGCAGGTTATATTTTCCTACATGGCTACGTTATGACTGAGAAGTCGTACCACAGCGTTATCTATCGTGGTTTTGTTTGTGTTTTTGTCTTACAACTTAAACTATTTCAAAGCACGTTTTCAGTTAATAATACATGTTGGACATTTTTCAGCTTTCCTTTGTGCTTACTGTAGCTACTCCCTCTTACGTCATTCCTGGTTCCACAAATCCTAACCCGAGGCTCCAAAACCATAGACAACAAGCTGGTGATTTCACAAGGACTACATCTGATTGCTTTACACATATTGGTTGTGCTCTTTGAAAAAAACCTTTTTGTAGTATGCTTTTTCATTTTCCTTTTTAAAAAAAAAGTTATTCAGTCAGGCCAGAAACTCACAGAACATATGTCATTGCCTTAACTGGGAAGATTCACACCAAGGATCTTCTTGCAAATATTCTGCTGTGACCGGAATTTAAATTATTGGTCATGGATTACGATTTTAAGTGTAAAAAAGTACCAAGGTTGATTTTACAGTTAGTTGTTTTTCCTACTTATCAGATGGAAATTAAAATATCACATGTAATATAATACAGGAACAAGGAAAAGTTCAACATTAAAAATAAATGTATTACTTCTTTGTAGTCAATTAAAAGAGATAAAGCACTTTGAATAAGTATTCCTCCTAACTTGTGTTTTGTAGAAATAGTTTGATTTTTAAACAATTCTACATGAAGATTTGAGGTGTTATTAAGGCCTATATTTGGCCTTAATAACAGTTTTCATGACTTGTCAATGGCAACTTTCAAAGTTGTCAAAGTGTGGTTATAGATCCGTCTCCAGAGATAATATCCATGAAAAGATGTTCTCTCTCTACATTTGATGGATATTCCTAAGCTTGCAGTGAAGCATATAATAGTTAACTGATCTGAAAGCATGAAATCCCAAAAGTGATGACAGTTTGACAGTTTGGCACATAGAACCATCATAAAAAGACCATAAATCCTATTGTTTCTGGCCCATTGAATTATCACTATTTCCCACTCACTGACCCCTGGGTTGTGGTATCTTTAGACTAAATCCCTGAAGTCAATGGACTTTTCACACTGACAGCAAACATATATCATCAACCATTAGATCATATTGAATCCACGTACACAAGTTAATTCAGTTGTCCGTAAGACATGAATGGTATTAATTCATTCACACACGCTACACATTCGGAGGCGTGCGGCACAGTGGATAGAGCGATGGTGTTCAGATCAAGGGGACAGGTTCAAACCCCACAGCAGTCAGCATGTCGTTGTGTCCCTGGGCAAGACACTTCACCCCAAATTGCTCCTGTGGGGATTGCCCACGGTATTGAGTATGTAAGTCGCTTTGGATAAAAGCGTCTAACAAGTAACATGTAATAATAATAAATTCAACTGTAGTCAGAGTAGCAAATGAATAAAGAAATCAATTCAAATTGCTGCATTGTTAACGCTGTTAGTTGTTTTGTAGATCTTTAAACAAAATAGTTTTTAAAATTAGTATTGCAATGCAGCTTTATGAGGAAGGGGAAAGTAAAAAAATGAAAATGATTTAGTGAAAAACAAATCTTTGATTCAATCTGAAAGATGTTATTTTGCTCAACATTTTCCAAAACATGTCCCCAAAAATCAATATTGTTTTCATAAAAAAACCTCAAAAGCACTCAATGGAGAATACTCAGCATCACCTTATTTGATTTTGCAGGGCTATCTATTTGTTTGTGTGTGTGTGTGTGTGTGTGTGTGTGTGTGTGTGTGTGTGTGTGTGTGTGTGTGTGTGTGTGTGTGTGTGTGTGTGTGTGTGTTCTAATTATAGTCTGTGGGATTCCTCGCAGTGAAAAGGTCGGAGAAAGACAAGATTTTTACCAAGGAGAATGTCTCTTCATGTAAAACTAAGGCTTGGTTGTGCCCAAGTGCATGAGACCCCTGCTTATTTTGACCTGCAGTCACACCTTTGAATTATCAGTTAGAACACTCTCCTCTGCTATTCTTGGGTATTAATTCTGCTGCTCCCAAACTGTAGTTAAAGGTCTTACGAAAGGTGAAGAAAACTGGATTAATCGACTGATAATTTCACCACATAAACAAAGAACCTGACAAATAAGACCTTTAGTTATTTCTGTAAATATGTTCTAAAATGTCCCCAGTGTGGACGGTTGTGGACATGTTCTCTGAGTGTGTCTGATCCATCTCAGTGTGTATGTGTGCTGGATTAGGATGGCTCGGAACAGATTAGTTAATTATAGACACCTGCTGTCTAAGCGTGGTGTGCGTTGTCAGGTGTTGCAGCATGAGGTCGGCTTGGGGCTGAGGAAAGAAATGGAGGACCAAGATATGGAATTGCATATACAAATTCTTTACCATGTGTGTTTTAGATTGGATCCTTTTTCCCTGATAACTAAGGAATTGAAATCTTCATGCACATTTCACAGATTTAAACTCTTACAAACTCACTTGCAACCAGCAAAAAGTGGTGAAACGCTTATTTCTGACAGCAGCTGTTTATTCTTTTAATAGTTGATCACTCTGTAATCAGACAGCTGGCGTTCCATTATTTTTTTATTATGAACAAGCACTTTGATTCCCACTTCAAGGGATAAAGTATAACATGTTCAATGTGTTTAACTGTAGATCCATTCCAACATCTAAATTATAGCGGGGATAAGAATACCCTTGTAAGAGACCATCCGTCATCATGATTGACTTTTAAACGAATAATTGCTGTCAGAATTGAAGTTATAATGGTTCCCATTTCCACACACACCTTATTATTAGTGCACAGAGGAAGTCCCAACCCAACATTAAAGAATAAATGCTGCCATGGCAACACAATCATGTACAATGTCACACTGTGAAAGCTAAAAGAACAAATGGTCTCTCAGGAAGAGTTTAATCATACCGAGTCTGCCACTCAATGACTAAGCAGCACTTATCGGCTGCACCACTGCAACTCAACCTCAAATCAAATGTAGATGTGGTGCTGGGGCAGGCAGTATGGGAAAATATTCAGTTATATTATTGAAATGCATCACACAATTTAGAAAAATAATAATAATTTACTTTTATTTGCCATTATCTGAAATGAACAAGTCATCCCAAGTGGTTTGATGTTGGTGTAAGCTCAGGGACAGACTGCCTCAAGCACGCTAAAGAACTCCATTAAAAATGGTAGAAAATATACAGATTTACCCAAACATAGGCCATAATTGATGTCTAATTAAATACTAAAAAATGTATTGAGGAAACAGCTGCAATCAGTTCTTCTGTTTTGCTCTCATTATCAACTTTTATTCTGCTAAATGGGTTCCCATTGAAGCCTTTTGCTTAATTCGGAAGTTATTGTTTACTGTGAAGTTCGTTCTTGAAATTAATTGAGCACCTGACATCAACCCTACAATATTTCTCTTCACTGTCTCACATACTAATGAATCATGAAAACATAACAAATATATTGCTTAGTTTGTAAGAATCTTAATCATCTTTTAAAGACCATTGCATTTATGGACTGCACGCAATACATTTTCAGTTATCAGATAAACAGCACTCGTGTGATCAGCTGTTACATGTTCCCTGAAATTGATCCAAATCCGGTAAATCACATCTGACCAAAAAGGTTATCATAAAAAAAACAGTATATGTTAAGCCAAGGTGGGTAAACTACACGCAACATATATTGACATCTATTAAAAAATGTTGTTTAGAATATCCCAGAATGAATGTGGTGTTGGGGAAGTAAGACCAGTCAAAGAAACAACTTTTTTATACTCAATCAGAACCGAATGAGACTATTTGGATGACCAAAACAAAGTAATTTACTTTTGCTGGAAGAAAAGTAAACAAATAAACCAGGCAAAAGTCAGCAGCAGGGATTTTCATCTCCTGGCTAATCTTAGCTGGTTGACTCCACCCTTTGTGTCTGCGAGACTCCTGGGATATTCAGTTTACCTTTACGTACCTCCCGGAGACTGAATGAGCAGGCATCCAGTGGATATACCTTCAACGCTGAGGAAAAACATAATCTGCAGATTTTAATTGAAGTAGCGAACAGCCCTTTCTGGAGGGATAAATAACTTTTTGGAAGTTCTGACTGGATTTACTGATGCATGAATCATGACTTCGTTAATTTCTTTCCCGAAGCGGATGGCTGTGTAGTAGCTCTCCACAAATACAATTTCAACCCAGAACAACATACAAAACAACTGGTAAGCATCATTAGTAGCACATTGTGATGTGGTAGTTCTATGTGAATAATCATTGAACATTGGCATTGAAGAGGTGTCATCAAAATAATGTTCTGCGGCTCCTGTTCAGGTTAAAATGATGCAATAATATCCGTGGCCTTCTGTCAAGAAGTCATTGCTATAATGGTAAACTTCCATAACTTTGATATCTATATAATTCCTCTGTTAGTATTCCAATGGTGGAAGTATGATGTTTGACTTAATGATTTGTCATTGCTGTTAATAAACAGTACATGTACTTGGTCGTTTGCTGCCCTTTGACCTTTTGAATTTAGCCTCTTAACCATGGTAGTTTATTTTGTGTGACTTGTAATGGTAATAGCATCACATTTCCAGCATTGGAAAATATATATGATTCTAATATAATTTGTTTCTTTTGTAAAGTGTGACTGACTAAAATTGCAAATCAATTTACTTTTATAAGACTTGTCAAAGGATTTAGGACAAGTAACTAACTGATACACTGAAGTTTGGTATTTAAATGTGTAATCTCCTGCATAACATTGGTCAGGTGGGTGGTGGTGACACCTTGACTTTTCCTGGGAAGCCCCTTTTCTGTTGCATAACCCAATCACTTGTGTGCTGGAGGTGCTAATTTTATCCTCTTTAAAAGGCTTAAGTCTCATTAATGCTAGAGCACAGTGTATCAGACAGGCGTGATTGACTTGGCTGTTGTTTTGTCCTCACATTTAGACAGAATGTTCCATATTCCCTATTATGCTTGGTAAATTCAAATATTGAATTATCTAATGTGTTATTGAATCTTCGAGGTACATTTTGTTTCCACACTGCCTATACAGTAATTAAGGCTTTGTTGCCTAACTCTACTATGTATTGTCCTGAAGAGAAGTCCTTATGTTGAGGGACAGTTCACTTAATACAACTCCTTTGCCCACAGAAACGTAGGCATATTTTGTTGTTGTGGTTGCTTCCAGCATTAACAATCCAGGTGTTAAAGTCATGAAGGTCGAAATAATCCAAATGACACGAGCATTCGCAGTTACGTAACTGTGCACGTCTGTGCTTTACAGGGGATTTAAAAGCTGCACAGGGGAAAGCTGATCTTTAAGTCAAAGAGGCTTTACCGCACACCACAACAAACCTGAGATACTTGGTGGTTCATTGAGATGATAAAGCAGTGAGATAAAGAGCTGGATTGAAGATTTGGTTGGATCATTCTCTGAAATTAACTCACAGAAAGCATAAAACAAAATCAAGGACCACATTACACAAAAACATACGTGTATCAAAAATTGAATTACTAAAAATAATAAATCAGAATACCTAAAATTACCATAAATAAATATGCACAGACAGCCAGCAGAAGCAACAGAAGCAATGGGGAGGATATGAGTAACAGCTGGTGTTCTGTTTATTCAAATTGAGTAAAACTGTAATAATTAGTTTATTATGCAGATGAAAACAGGCTATTTATTGATTCTGTGTTAATTGTCCGGGAATGTCGGTTACTAATTATGAGAGACCATCTGCAAACCTTTTAGAACGTTGCATGCATTTACAATGCATAGGATGCAGATATTAATGGAATTGAACCATGTGTCCAAGAGCCATCATTACTTACCTAATGACACAATTGAACACGTTTTTGAAATAGTAAGCTTGCATGCGATATTGGGAATGAACTTTTGCTCCTTTTCTGAGAGCTCTTTGACATAATGCTCTCAAAACTAAATATGATTTTATTTTCTCATTAGTTTGGAATCACCAATACAGTGGGTTTGCTGTTATTCTTTCACTTATTGATACCCACTTTTCTTCCTTTCAGTGCCAACAAAATGCAGAAGCAAGTGGAGGTCAGGATGGGCGAAAGCCACATGGAGCCCATCGTCGAGACTCCTGACAGTATATGTGGCTCTATGTGTGATAAAATCATGAAGAACATGGTTCTCACTCTCACAATCCTTGGTACGTATATCTGGTCAGCTATTTACACCAACACTCCTATGGAGCCTTTCCCAACATGTGTTAGATAAGACAAGATGTACATTCTGGATGGGTTGTTAGACCATCACTGCACTAAAACAAACTAACACATTTAACAAGTGGGCATTAAGCCTTACCTGGTCTTTGGAAAGTGGACACATGGAGCCTCAGTGGCAATCTACCCAGAAACGCACATGGAAGACATACAAACTACTCTCAGGAAGGCCCCAGTCTTTCCCTTGCTTAGAGGAAATATTACTAACCACTGAGTCACTTTTTGTTCCCTGCATGAGGCCATACACTTTACCAAATACTTTTTAATATAAATGGATCACAGTATCTTTCTTTATGTTTAAATAAGTGCAATGAATAGTTGTTTAAAGTTCTCATGGAACCAAAGGAGACTGGGTTTTCTGCATCACATATGTATGTAGAAAAATGTGCAGTATCTTGCCCAACATGGCAAAACAGTGATTTAGTAGGTATTCTTGAAATTCCCCCAAAAAATTGGAATGACTCATTCCGAACTCGTGGGCGTATTCTTGCTTCCAGTGAAGCGCCAGTACGCCATACCAATGGGATGTATCAGCGTCTGCAGGCTTTGGATCATTGCTTGGCTCTTGCATGTCTGTCTCTCTCTATGTTTAGAGCACCACACACAATAAGTGCTATTTTCAACTTTAAATAGCAATCAATATCTCCAACAATTCCTTTCCAAACCCAGTCTTTTACCAGGAAACACGAGGAATAAAATGACACTTCGATAGCAGTTTTTTGGGAACTTTGATAACATTTTCTCTCGGGGTTTAAACTAATGTGGCCGGAATACCAGATAATTGTACAGAGAAAAGGTGTTATTTTCATTGTTTTACAGCATTTCTTCTTTAACAGAAGTAAAAGGGAAAACACTTTGATCAGTTATATTTTCACTGTTAATGTTAAAACCCAAGTGACCTTATAAGGTTAAAAGTTGTATTACAGTATAAACACAAATGATCACAGTATCTACTGTAGGTAACACCATGCATCTGTGTCCCTTAGATGACAGGTTGTAGTGTTGCTTTAAAACTCCAAAGAGCAAAAGGTGTTGTATTTATCACACCAATGTTGATAAAATCCTTCCGTGTTCACAGTTAGTATCTCATGACTCACAGTCAGCTTGCTTTGTGTTTGATGTGTGTTTTCCCGCCGGCTCAGGTGTGTTTCTGGGCTCCATTTCTGGAATGCTGCTGCGGCACATATCGCCTCTCCCCCCTGATGTCATTATGATCATCGCCTTCCCTGGAGAGATCCTAATGAGAATGCTGAAGATGCTTATTTTGCCTCTTGTTGTCTCCAGTCTGGTCACAGGTGGGTGAGGTACAGTAGCTGCTGCAAATTTTCTGCTCAATGAGATGACAACTGTCCTGAAATGAGGTCCCACGGTCCGACTTGTTGAGAGTTCAGTTGCAACAGGAGAGACAGGAGAGTAGGCAGGTGATGTGCTAAGGACGCCAGACACCAACCAAGGACTACATATTTTTTTGATATACAGTTTATATAAATGTATTTAAATTCTCTTGACTATGCTCTTGAGGGCAACATGTCCACTAAAATACGCATTCATGCAGATTAAAGCATATATAATTGGAATATAGGACTCACATGTGCAACACCTATCCATGTATTGTCAACCGCTTATACGGAGTCGGGTCAGAATTTGTTATTTCCAATAGATTTGGAGAATATTTCCTAATAAACAGAGCAATCACAACACTCCTCGAAATGAGTGTAGACTAATGTGTTGAGGCTTCACTTTTTAAATTCTGCAACCGGTCCGTGGAGCTAATCAATGAAAACTGTGATGTCTAAATGAGATTTTATTACAAAAAAAACAGACCAAGAGAAGAGGTTAGATCTGCTATATAGAAATGCATATCATTTAAATATATTTACTTTAACAAAATCTCGCTTTTTAACTATCTGTTCAAGATATTATATATATATATATATATATTTTTTAAGATAAGTAACTTATATTATTTCCTACAGGACTTGCTGGTTTGGACGCTAAATCCAGCGGTCGCCTAGGCACCAGAGCCATGGTGTACTACATGTCGACCACTGTGATCGCTGCGGTCCTGGGAGTGATCCTGGTGCTGGTCATCCACCCAGGTAACCCCAAGATGAGGGCTGGCCTCGGACAGGGAAAGAAGAACGGCGATGTGTCCAGCGTGGACGCTTTCTTTGATCTCATCCGAAACCTTTTCCCAGAAAACTTGGTGCAGGCCTGCTTTCAGCAGGTAGGAGTCTCACAAAAATAAGTTGCCCAACATACATTGTATGATTCATATGTCAGTTCCTCCAAGTGTGTGTTCTTTCTTTGCTTCTTGTCCAGATCCAAACGGTAATCACTAAAGTGCCAGTGCCCACTAACAGAACAAAAGCACCTCCACAGTTCACAGTTAAAAGGACGCTTCAGTTCAAGAGTGGGATGAATGTCTTGGGTAGGTTAAAAGTCTAAAGAACCGCCCACTGCAGGACTGGAAATAAAAAGTATTTGTTAAAGTTTGTTAACATCCTTCATCCTTCAGAGCTAAAAACAAAACCTCCTTGGCGGATAAAACATAATTTTTCTTTTTTTCCCTAATATTTTTGTTTTATTGAAAACAAAGCAATTTACATTAACATATGGCTATTCGAAGAGTGGTTAACCCTCATTCTTGGCTATTTATTTTCTGAAAGACACCATGATCCAAGACTAATTCAATATTATCTTTTTTTTACAGGTTTGATCGGATTCTTTGTCGCATTTGGAGTTATTATGGGAAAAATGGGAGAAAGGGCCAAGTTGATGTTGGACTTTTTCAACGTCCTGAATGAGATTGTGATGAGGCTTGTTGGTGCCATTATGTGGTAAATTGTCAAACTATTTAACTTGTTTTTGCTTACATAAAACATACATTAATGTATATTGAATAACCTAAATTTCACTATATACCAAAACAAAAATATTCCTGATAAAATATAATCTGATCAGATTAATCCTGTGTCTATCTTCAGGTACTCCCCTTTTGGTATTGCCTGCCTCATCTGTGGAAAGATCATCTCCATTGCGGATTTGGAGGTGGTTGCTAGGCAGTTGGGGATGTACATGGTAACCGTGATAGTCGGGCTCATTATCCATGGAGGCATCTTCCTCCCGCTGATATATTTTGTGATAGTAAGAGAGAACCCCTGGACGTTTTTCATGGGAATATTCCAAGCTTGGGTCACGGCACTTGGAACAGCATCCAGGTAAGATGTCTTCATTTCTTAACTCTAGGATTCAGACTTTCTGACCCTGGTGAGCTCAGAGTGTGTAGTTCAGGTGTGTTCTTTAGTGCGCTGTATGATTTTTCTAAATACTCAGATTCACCTTTTCTCCTCCAAGGCCATATGGTAAATAACAAAAGTAACCTTTATTTCAAATGATAATAAGTAGTCTTGCCAGCAACGGTTTCTCACTTTGCCTCAATGTGAGATAACTTAATGTTTTATTTATGACACACTCCTTCGCCTCCTGAGGTGAGCTCAGTTCTCTCAATGTCTGTGCTGCTCACTGCTCCTCCATCTGCCAGAAACACTTGATAATTATCAGACAAAAACATACAAAACAACTGCTGAGTCCCAACTGCAGTTTTCTCTATGGGATTCCACTCAAAGTTAATTCAAACTATTATAACTTATTTCTTTGTAATTCATCAACGTTTTGACCTAAATTTGTCTATTTTGTTCAATGATCAAATAACCAGTTGATTTATTTCAGTATACGTATGAAGGAACTATGCAATTTAACACTATTGCAACATGAAAGTGTGAATAAGACAATCTCTGCACGTTTTAGAGCCAAATTGGGTGCAAAGTTTGCAAACTGAACGACACTATATGATGTTGATGACGATCACAACAAAGCATTTCTTTATGTTTTATTTTCCGCAGTGCTGGAACCTTGCCTGTCACGTTCCGATGCTTAGAGGAGAACCTGGGCATCGACAAGAGAGTAACTCGCTTTGTGCTCCCAGTGGGTGCCACCATCAACATGGACGGCACAGCGCTTTATGAGGCTGTGGCTGCCATCTTCATCGCTCAGATGAATGGGATTCACCTCGACTGGGGCCAGATTGTGACTGTCAGGTGAACATGCGACCACAAATATAGATAACACAGCACATTAGCAAGGCAACATTTGGAAACACATTATCCACATTCTTCACTCCCTTAAATCTGATGTAGCAAAAATAATTCTTTATAAATGCGTGTGAAACATGTGAACATCCAACTGTTTTCAAACACAGTCATTTGATTTATTTTGTTATTTTCACATCATTTTATCCACATTTTCTTGTCCATGGTTTAGACTCTTTCTAGTTTAATTGATTATTTCAAAACTATAATTTGTTGTCAAAGTATTCTTTTTAGAAATACAGAATCGGCATGTTTAAAGTGGCAGAGGTATGTTGATGCTTCAGAGCTTGTGGTTTGTCCTACTTGCTGAGAGTTGGATTTGCTTCCTAATTAGTATGACAGCCACCCTGGCCAGTGTGGGAGCGGCCAGTATCCCCAGCGCTGGACTTGTGACCATGCTTCTGATCCTCACAGCGGTGGGGCTGCCCACTCAGGACATCAGCCTCCTGGTTGCTGTCGACTGGCTGCTGTGAGTTCACCATGAACACAAACACTATCATTATAAAAAACATTCCAATACCATACAGGTGTTTCTTACATTAAGGCTTGAAAAAGATAAAGAGAATAATGGTAACTTCCCATACTTCATACAAGTATAGTATAATGTTTGGACAATTTACTTCTTTACCCCCAAAAAACTACAACTACATTGAAAATAAGAAAGGTATCATTCACTCGGGGCTAAATAACAACGGTTATACATGACAGCTTCAAAGCACAACTCTAGCTACCTCATTGAATCATATATCCCCAACAGTCCATTTGTCACTAAGCATAAACACTCACTTGTATCATGCTTGCCTGGCTGTTTGGTACCAACTTGCTTTTGGATGCTTTGCCATCTTAAGGATGTAAAATCACCTCAACACCTTATTTTCTTAAGCTATTAACATCCTTTCACTTTGTTCGACGTACAGTACATATGTTATCAGCATATGTTCTAGGAATTTCATTCTAGGACATCCCATGTATACACACACACACACACACACACACACACACACACACACACACACACACACACACACACACACACACACAATGTATAAAGCATAGAGCTTAACCACCACAGTCAATACAGATGCTTGGATGTAAATGAACTATTTAGGTTTTTGATAGTGTGACGGTATTGAGCACATTTTGCCGGCATCTAACATTTATTTTTATGTTGTTGTTTTAAAAAAACATGCTTACTTTTCTGTGATGATTCAGAAGCCTAAATAACAACATAACTAAAACATTTAAATTAAAACAAAAAGAAGACTCGCTCCATTTAGCTTTTTCTTTCATTTATCATTCACACTTTAAACACACCTTCTCTTCATGCAGGGATCGTTTCCGTACCTCAGTCAATGTGGTTGGGGACTCCTATGGAGCGGGCATCGTGTACCACCTTTCCAAGCACGAGCTTGACCTTTACGATCAACAGGCCCGGATGGAAGAATTTGAGATGTCAAAGACACAATCCTTCATTGAAAATAACACCAACCAGAATGTATACACACACCGCAACTCAGTCTTGATAGACGACTGCAAGGTACATTTCACGTTAACGGACATAGAGACTTGTATGTAGAGAAACCTCCCCTGCTCTGTGTGTGTGTTACCCTTTATTTTCCTTTCTGTGTGTGTGTTTCTTTTTTTATACATCAGTGTGTCGGTGTCTATGTAAATAGTACATGTTACATTTTCTTTGACGAAAATGTTTTTTTGATTGGGGTGAAGAGCTAAATAAATATTTCCATATTTAGCTCTTCACCTGTTACTTGTATGAAAAAGCAGTTTTTGTGGTACCAGGTTCAACAAAAGCAAAGTTTGTTCTTTTGTATACTACACTTTTGTTTTTTATAATTTCCAAAAACTCAGTCTTATTCTCATGAAACCCAAATGACAGTAAGCATCAACCATTCCTAATGTGTTGTCTTGTACACAATTATATTTCACTTGCATTTTGTTGTGGTATGTTCTGATTTCATTAAGAAACTGTTGTTATTTATTTATTTATTTTGGTCTACATAATTGGACATGTATTTCTGGCAGCCCTGACCAAATTACAATTTTCAATCATTGGCTTTTTTTTTCAAATACTTTTTGTAGCCAGTGGTATACATAAAGACTGCTGTTTCACCATGTTTCACCCAAAGTGATGCACTCGTTCATGCCATGCTTATCAAAGATATTTTAAAGAGTATTTCACTCAATTTTGTTGCTATTTCATTGTTTGTGCAATGCAACTTTCGCATGCTGATGCTAAAGTTGCTGAAGTTGCTGAAGTTGCTCTTTGATTATTGTAATTCGGTTGGGCGGAGAATCCATAAAATACATGGCCAACTCTGGGAACTATCCTTGTTTTAATATCATCTTGTTACCACATTGACATGTAAACAGCATCACTGCTTCATCGCATGTATTTCAATGTTGGGGATTCACTCAATTATTATACCCTAAGGTCGATGGCCTGTAAATTCATGTCATGTAAAAGGGCCTGAATGTAATGACGCATGGCTTCTCTGCTCCCAACCATTGACGGTGTAAATAACAGTGCCTTGGCCATAAAGTTAGATTTTCTCAATAATTGCTTACAGGTCGGCATGGGCAAAAATGGCAGGACTGGAGGGTTCTCTCTTGTTGAGGAAGGACCATGGAAATGCGAGTAAAGCAGATCCAGATGCTGCCACGCCTTACCCTGAGTTCCAGCTTTAAAAATGAACCAAAAAAAAAAATTACGTAGAAAAGAAGGGGGGAAAAGTTAGCAGAGTCAACTGTACCACAAGTGACAGTAACAGTCGGCCAGTCTCTTCCTTTCAGTTACCCATCAGGGTAGCTACTGAGCAAACTACAGAAGACTCAGCAACTTGTATTATACACAAACTGTAAGGAACTGGTGCATTTCGTTTCATTCACTTTGTATATAAGAATAAATCCTTCGGTTGACAACACATTACTTGGTGCTGCTGCAATCCTCCTGTTCTGTCAACGAAATAATTCTTCAACCTTGTGCAAAATCAATTTTTTCTTTTGTTTTGAAGCATTTTCTTTTTAGCTTTAAGGGCGGAGTGATGAAACGTGGATGATGGCCTTGTTACCTTTGATACAAGGACCACTTAAGAGAAAATACAAAGGTTGGTGTTATTGACTCAGAACAAATGTACCAGATCAGCATATCAGAGTCTGACAGACTTCCTTACTGAATCGTTGTCAACATCAACATGTTTGTGTATTTTGTTTTCTCGTGAAATATCCAAATCTGAACTAAAGGTTCAAAATAATGGGAACTGTGTTCATGAAAATAGAACATGAACAGAATGAAACAGTGCTTCTGTCATTATAAGTTAAGTAATGGTTCAACACTGTGCTACCTATGACTCTTTGACTTATGGGATTACTCCTTGATGTCACACACATGGCCAAGCCTAAGAAGCAAAGCTTAGGACTTAAAGCATAAGAGCAGAGCGTTTGACCTCTAACTGTGGCAACAGACAGCACAGGATGTGTTGCAGAGAGCTGTAAAGCAGAAATAGAAATGTATGTGAAGGGTGCCCTCACAGTTATTTATTTATTCCTTTTGTATATATGTTCTTTATGGGTGACGCACTGTGTTTCTGTTTTTAGTCAATAAGTATGCCTGTGTACTGGAATCTCTGTGTTTGTGCGTGTTTCTGAGAGCAAGGGGAAGATTCTGAAGGAAAGGAAGTCGGAGGGTCAACAAGAGTAAAAGGGGGGGTAGGGGGGTGTCTCAAACTCTCGGCAGGCCAGTGCATTGCTCTGTGTTTTATTTCAAACTGTTTATTTCTTTGCTATATGACAACCTTGCCTTGACGATGTCAACTGCAGAGTGCAGTCAGTGTGATGACTAACAATGAATAACATTTATTACTGTTAATTTCTTTAGAATATTGGGACACCCATTTCAATAGAAGAAGTAAAGTTTTTCCACCTTACATGCTGGATTTCCTCACAAGGTATCAGTGAGATTTCGCACATTATGATAAAAAGTGCAGATTTATATATAAATAACACGCTTGCGTATACACAGAGTTATTTAGCTGTGGTCATGTCTGTTTAGCAATGCACACTAAATTCTGCCTCCAACACTCGCAGAAATCTGAAGCCGTAACAACAAGGTCATTGGATGTTGGCTGAATATGTTTTTGAGTTTGACTCCGTGTAGAAACTCTGTTCAAAGTTAAAATAGGTTATTTATTTCCCTTTTCAGATAAGCGACAGCTTATATTCATGTTTAAAGTGCCTCCTTGCACTTTATATATCATCTTTAGATAAAGTGTATAAATCAAATGTGTAGGATTTGACATTTCATGTCAAGCATCAGAATTGTTTTTGCTATGCTAAACGTTTCTATAAAGACTTTAACAATATTATTTAAAACAATGTAAGTACAATGTTAATTTTCATTTTATGAGCCACTAGTGGTCCCTATAGGTTATAAGTTTAGAGTTATTTATTTAGAAACAATGCATTCAATTTATCTGTTTTCAAAATAAACGACTGATCTCTGAATGTTTTAGGGGAAGGAAGCCCAATATTGTCCTCCTCTTCAATCAGATAATGTTGTTTTTAAGTATGTAATGGTAATCAGGACATTGATTCAGTTTTGTGTTGGCAGCTATACAGTATGTCACCATGCTGCTGTGGCACCTTTGCAAGTCATCCTTTGTTTGGCTCAAGCACTACCTTTCTCACAAATTGAAGACTCTTCCTAGGAAACTATCATCGTAGCCTGACTTATGTAAAACCCATTATCTAATTACTTATTACATCACTTCTGTTGTATTGTTTCCGGGCCTTGATCTAATTGTCCTTAGTTGACTGGCCTAGTGTAGCATAGTTGTCCAACCCTAACATGAACATGGAATCGTTCAATCGTTACAAAACAAAGCATATATTTTCTATCTTCCTTTATGATTTGGTGCACATTTCGGTCCAAGAATGTATCCAATATTTCCCTTGTGTCTGACATTTATTGTGATGCAACATGTCTTGTAAATTAGAATGAGCAGGATTGAATGTAGCACAAACAATATTTGTCTGGCAAATGGACTGAAAGTGTGTAAATGTTTTAATACCTGTGTGTAAATATTAATGGAAACAAATAAATGTTTATTGATGATAAGATTTGGTTGTGTTTATTTCTCAAATAAAATGTGGTGTAATTCATCATATGAACATGCAATAACGACAGATGGAGTGCTCTGTAGGTTGTCTGAGTCAGTGGGTCGGGCACTGTTCAAGAATCAGAGGTTTTTTAATAAAGGTTGGGGAAACAACACAACAGCTTAAAATAAGTTACAATCCACAACACAAATAATTTTATTGCAAAAAAGAGATTTTCACAGAATCATTGCCAGTTAAAAAAACATACAAAAAACAAACAATAAAACATCCAACAGTATTTCTTTCCGGATAATACAATGGCAATAAAAGCATCAACATGAATATTGCTGTAGTTTAAAAGTAAATGAGAGTTTATGAAAGTTGACAGGGAAAGCCACATTATGTTTCGGGTTCAGACTAGGATCAGAGCTGAGAAGTTCATAGGAACCGTTTGTGCTCCACAGCCCTTTCGTTGCTCTGATCAAAGCGTTCTGTTTCAAACTCTGACTTGTGTTTCTGTGATGAGTCTGAAGCCTCCGGAGAGTCTGTGTCAGAACCTCAGTGTGAGGAAGGTTCTGGAAGCTCCTCCAGGGGGATGACCGTGTACTCTCCCGCCGTTCCATTCTCCCTGGGATTGTCTTTGTGCAGGAACGTCTTCATCTCTATCTCCCTCTGCTGGTTGGAGGAGCTACTCTTGGTCTCGGATGCCTGGTTTGGTGCATTCCACCTGCACAAATAAGGAACAATAAGAATGTTTTTCTAGGCTTAACCAGTTATAACAAAAAATATATAGCCATATTTGTCCTTTTTCAAAGCCTTACTTGTCTCTGGTAGCGATGGCAACAAATAGCACTATCAACGCTGCAAGGCCCACAATAAAACCAACGATAATGATCCAACCTGGAGATATGGGAGATAAGAAGTTAGGACAGGGACTGACTATGGCAGAGTTTGATCATAAACAAATCTGGTTTACAATTTTTTCAAAAATTACCTGGTGTGCTGTGTCCTATGTTAGAGGCAGGATCGTCCAGGCGGCCTATCTGACCTAAGAACAGAAAAAACAGGTTTTATATTTTTCGTTGGCAATCAATAAAACACAATGTTCATGATTGTAGGCATAGCTATTGAGGCAGGTTTTGAATACTTACTATTTTCGCTATTTCTCAAAGGTTCTTGCTTCGAAGGTGTCTCATTGATTAGCACTATACTGCTGTTCTCAATATCTGATCCTGATCCTTCACCTGATCCTTCGCTTCCTGCAAACATTCTTGGTGCGATAAAATCAGCCATGCTGGTTGATCGTGAACTGGTTGTAGTAAGGTCCTGGGTAAACATCTCTCCATCTCCATCTCCAGAGCCTGAGGTCGTACTGGAGGTTGTAGTAGGGTATTGGGTAAACATCTCCCCATCTCCATCTCCAGAGCCTGACATCATACTGGGGGTTGTAGTCGGGTACTGGGTAAACATCTCTCCATCTCCAGAGCCTGACGTCATACTGGAGGTTGTAGTAGGCTGCTGGGTAAACATCTCTCCATCTCCATCTCCAGAGCCTGATTCAGAACTCAGGGTGGACCGGAAGGCAATGTCGAAGGCAATCGTAAGGTCAGTAGTTTGAGGGACTGTGATGTGGGTGGCCGTGACGCCTGGCTCGGCTTCATTTGGCTCTTCTGAAGAGGTAAAGCTAAGCTGAGGGTTTGGGGTAGTGGTTAAATCTGAAATGTTTTCTTGAGTGTCCTCTGGCAAGATGGTGGATGTAGATATTGGATCCATGGACTCCCCTTTAGCACTTTCCTGAGTGTTGTCAGTTATCTGCTGAACGGTAGTGTTTCTTTTGGGCGATTCAGTTGTCAATGTTGGGAGTAAAGACTGTTCGACGAGGTATCCGTCCGTCAAAGCCTCTCTGATAACTTCATTTTCAGCTATGACTGGGATCTGAGTCGTAGCTAGGACAAAGAGAGACAGAAAAATCCACTGTTCAGCTTGAGTGTTTACCAGCCCTGACATGAGTGGAAAGGAAAGTTACCAAGCCTTTTTGATACCTTACAAACATTGTCACACAGGGCTTATGCCCCAAATTCTTGTATAAACTTGTTTTGTGTTTTTTGCTTGGAGGCAGTAATGATTAACCTCTGTGACTAATCATCTATCAGAGAGTTTACAATAGAAAGGAAGCCTCATCAAAGCATCAGTTTCACAAGAGCCTACCACGCTTGACACACCCAGTTTTGTCTGAAGGAAGCCAATCCCAGAGTTTTGTGACACAAAGGAAAACAAATTAGGCACTTTGCTACATTGAAGTTTTTGCTTGTTACTAGTCTGGATTTTTAGATATTTCACACTATAATCAGTTAGCACTTAGCATGTACTTATCTACTGTTTGCAGGTTGTTCTTTGATTGAGTAATTCCATTGTATTCTTCTACTTCACTTCACTACATAACAACTATTGGGTGTTTTACTCCCTGAGAGCTATAGCTACATCTTACTAAGTATACAATGAACGTTTAAATGCAATACATACTGTAATAACATAATAAACCAGTGTTTTTGAAATATTTGTGTTTAAACTACTTACACATTGATACTAAAGTTGCAATATAATATACTATTATAAGTTAAAGGTACCATTCTTCTTGAGAGCAAGTACTTTAACTGTTGATACTAAAAAAGTATGACATTGATGATCCTTGACCTTCAGTAGTACAGTGTATCTGTGTATTTACACTCGAGCACAAATCTGAAAAATCTCAATAAAGCGAAAAGACAAGTGAACTGAAATACATTACAAATAAAGCCTGAGAATTGAATCAAATATCTCCACTCTCCATTTCTGCCCCATCACGTTCGGCACTAGTGTTCCCTATGAGGTTACCGGATGCCCAAACTTGCGTAACAGCTCTTAGCTGATCTTTGGTTTCACCTTACTCCAGACACACGCTTTAATGCACCTTCTGGAGGGGCTCAGCACATTTGACAAAGATCCCTGTGTGTAATCTGGAGATGCCAGGGAAACCTGTGCACCCATAATGAAATACTACTCTGGAATTCTTACAGAAAGACCTGAAACATAAAGAGCATCTTGGGTAAGGAGGGGAGTGCTGACTCACAGGGTAATAAAAAGGACACGATGGGAATTATTGAAATTTTAGAGGTCGGTACAGCATAGAGAAATTCCTGTGTCTGCAAAACCTGCATGAGTCCTGAGGTGGAAAGGTGTCTGTTTTTTCAACATAATTGTACTGACTACCGTTGACTAACTCCTATTCGGATTAAAGCAGAATTAAATGGACCTGTATTAGGATTTTATAATGTAAAAATGTAATTATATAAAGAAACATTTAATTACCAAATAAAAACAAACACATGCTAAGCTAGAATAGAAAGTGTTTGCTTAGGTATTTGTTATTAAAAGAAAAAAAGACTTTCACTTACTATGGACAGGTGTTGAGTGGACAACAGCAAGAAGTCCGAGAAAAACCCCCACAAGAAGATTCCTCATCTTAATAGAAACCTGTGACAAAGCAATGGGCTGAAGTTAACTGTCGGAGAGACGAAAAGGTATTTGGCACACTGAACTGATTATGAAGCAGATGAATCATGTGCTTGCTTTTATACACAAGCGGGTAGGTGTCACGTCAGTGAAACAATGGGGCAATGACGACACACAGACACACACGTACGCAGAAGGGCTGGCACACCTGTGAACACACCCTCTTCCTCAGACATTCTCACGCTTTGTGTTTATCCTCTTCCTTTGGCATAACAAACAAATACTGAGGAAAACATAATATATCCAGTTTTTCGGGAAGTTATTCTGTTTCCAGATCATTTTTACTGGAAGATGATACACATCAGGAACATTGTCAGTTACTTAAGAAACTTGGCTGAATGATCACATTCACCCCCTTAAATTCCAAAAAAAACTAAATAATAAGGAAACAAACACCACTGATGAGGCTAAATCTAATGCACTTTATAGATGCCATAAAACAAACCACATCAGCAGAAATAAAAAAGAGAAGCACCAGAAAAACCATGTTACTGATGTTATTCTAGTTTCCTTAGATACATGTTGTCGGTAACCAGACTCCAACAAAGACATACTGGTGAAATTACAAAAGTGGATTAAAAATAAGTGTATGTAAGCTTACAGTAATACAAATTCTATCTACGTGAACAACAAACATGCAAATGTACAAGATATACAAACAGAGGATAAACAATTGAAAAAGAAACAAAACACCCTGAGGGAGACAGCTAACCTGATTATGTAAGGAATTGAATTTCTTGCATAATTTTCACAGTCTTTTTGTTCCATATTCACTCAACTAGCAGTTTTTATAGAAGTTAAATGTAGTTAAAATGATGGTAAATGTGATCAAGTAATCACCTGGTCGTAAAGTACAATTAAAGGTACCGAGGATAAAAACTAAGCAAAGCTTATTGTAGTTCTTTGGATAGGGTGTACAGGGTTTACATATAAAATAAATATGTAAATGCAGCAGGGAATTGATGTGCGAGTAAATTAAGTTTAACCAACAGTTTGATTATGCGCAACATAGTAAAACTGCACACACCACAGCATTCATTGAAGTATTGAAAACAATGGGTGACAGTTGGGGAAATAACTTGGATGAACCCCTTAATTAAAGACATGATTAATGATGTGTGGTTATGGAGACAAACAACAACACACACTTCCATATCAGTTTTTAATTATCAATACCTTTCACATTTCCCAGGTTACGGGAATGAGTTTCAGCAAAACAAGAGCCTTCATTTTTGGCCTAGATTCAACCTTCTCACAGGCAATTATATAATTCACCAGGATGATTTTGACACAAACTCAGGTCAGTAGCCTCATTCTCATCTCCCTGTAGGCAGTGCATATTGTTTACAATGACTGTTGTGGTTTTTGGCATCTGAGGAAAATGGGTGTGTCACAGCAGGGCATTAGCCCCGGTCTCTCTGTAACGATCATGAATCGTGAATCAACAGTCGTGAATTACTCAGCATGTGGGTGAAAACTTGTCCAGTCTTGCACTCTACACCCACAAAAGGCCAATTTCCGTTACTGTTTAGAATGAAAGGTTACAATACACAAGTGATGATTCATAACAGGAAGAACCTCAAGGCTTAAACACATTCAACAGCGTGCAATAGTCAGATTTTGGTATTACATTTATTCTCACAGTGCTTCCTCCTGTGAGTGTGTTTGTTCTCGAGGTCATAACATGTTATATTGTGAAAATATTGCCACCATATGAGGCAAAATGTGGGAAGGTCAAAGTAACTTTTGATGAAAAAAAAAGATTGTTGTCAAATTATTTCCATATAGGTCAGAAAAGGAAAAACCTAATGTGATTAACCCTTATAGAATATATAGAATATTGCCTTTTAAAGGATATTCTAGTCAGGCTCCTGGGACAATACATGTATAGGTAGTTTAGGGAAAAGGCTGAGATTTATGAAAGCTATGTTTCATTATCCTAAAAAGCTTCAATGGGTTTTCAACTTACATTATGGTGAATCAGTATCTTGGAATTACAAAACATTAACAAAAAAATGTAGACTCGGAGCAGCATTTCACTTTGATAAAACCTTTTTCATTTTTCTTTGATGCAAATCTATGAACCCAACGACTCAACAAAGGTTTATCTTCAGAAAGTGCTTTTGAATATTTTTGAAAAAAGGTGAGATACATTTCAAAAATATCCTATGAACATGAGCTCATTTGACCATATGCTGCACAAATGAGGAAAATGTGCAAAAAAAACAAACATGCACATCTATCCCAGTAGTCCCAGATTTTCAAACTCTGAAAAAATAATGTTTTTCCTTCTGTGTTCCTGTACAATCAGATGCAGTTCAAAGCAGCAGAACACAGGGCAAGTCCACTGGGCATGTGTTGGCCAATTAGCAGCCATTGTAAAGCCCCCCCCCAACCCCTCACCTGTTATATCATGTTTCATGGCAGCCACCATTGTTCCTTTCTTCAAAACCCCAGCTCACTCTCTCTGCTGCTCTCACATATATTACCACCATTATTTGAGAAACTAGTCAGCCTTTATCACTCCATTCTACCATGGACAAATATCCGCTTTTGCACATTTCTGTAGCAGATTCATAACAAACACATAATAGCAGCGTTCATCAGCGCCTTACAACAGTTGTTGCTAGACGACATTCCAATTCTGACCTTATTAGTCACGACAATTACAAACATTATTTCCTCTAGATTAAGGTCTCATTTTGCATCTCACTGATTTTGGTTTAAGCATCAGGATAGACTGATGTGTAAAATAAATGTTCAGCATGTTGAGTTTAAATCAAGGGATTTTAAATTGTCTCCTCGAGGGAAGAAGATGATATTGGTTATTGTAAAATGCTTCGGATCAAGGCGTCAACTGAATTAAATATAATGTAATCAGTTCTCTGTTTAAATACATCATTTTATTTCAAGGCACTGTAGTGATTAGTCTTTATTTGTTGGCACAGTTCAAACATCAGGCTAGGAAACATACAATCATAGAGCTTAATTGATACATTCAGGGGAGGTGGAGATCAAAAGGGTTTATAAATTACAAAGTACTCCCCAATAAAAACATAATCAATTTAATTGCAACATTAGTGTGCATTGTTACACATCAGTTACACAAATAGAGAGGAGATGCTTTTCCTCTGCCCTGCAACCTTTCTTTAAGAAACTAAATGAATGCTGGGACCCTGGACATTAAAGATCTGCAAAGCAATGTCCAGAACGTACAAAATAATGACATAATGCTAAAAACTATATAAAAAATGAACAAATAAAAATGAAATTATCCGCAACTGTCGGAATTTTAATGTAAAGTGTGTATAACATTAGATAAGCAGCGTTGTACAAAGATGTTCTAGAAAAAGGGAAGACCTGTGTAACATGCTGTAATTCAGTTTACATCCTTCACGGTTCTCATTCAAAGTCATAATACCTGTTGCACAACTTATTTCTTTTCATTTTATTTCTGCCATCAGGATGATCTTATGGAATTTACCTTTGTTAGCCATGCTGCTGGCAGGCTATTATGTGGTAGTTTATTTTCCTGCTTCGCAAGCCACTGTTTTGACAAAAGTGGATCATTTGAATTTAGGGACCCTGAATTTATGTAGAATGTCCATTTTGCTAGCTTTGAAAATAAATTCATCACGTTTTGAATTGAAATCAGTTTGAGACACTGTCTATGTGTGTGTGTCGTTGACTAGAGGAGAGCTAAACTAATTTATCTCATGGCCTTATCTGACTTTGCTGGATTTCACACAATAGTTTGTGACATCACTGACAAAACCTGTCATGGCAAAACATGAAAGCAGGCAGCTAGTTCAAAAGGAGCCACTCCTTTTTTCAGTGTTAGCTTAATTATGCCCTACAGGTTTCAGAGAGTATGATACCTGGGATGACCCTAAATAAATTGAAGGAACACCTTTTTGCATACAGACCAACTACACGACTAAATCTGCAGAACAGGAGAACATTTCAGCTTCAAATGTATCAATTAAAAAATGTGGTACCATGCATGTGTTACATAACTCTGATCTTCGATACTTTATATGTCATCGTTTTTTTTTGGCTTTGTTCGATGTCTCCAGATCATTCTCATGCCATTCTATGTAATCGTTGTCATTTTCTAATAAAAATGTCAACTTAATGATGGCTCCGGGCTTTTATTGACAGTGCTAATGCAGATGGGAAAAAGGGAAATGGGTGGTAAGGTCTTGGCTTTGCATGAGTCACCTGCTCTACCAGGGGAGCAAACAGGGCGAGTGATAGCCACGGATAACTATCGCATATTTGTGCCAAAATCAACAGTTGTCTAGAAAAGAGTTCAAGAAAGCATTAAATCAGCAAATGTACATACTGTGTTGGGGAAAAAATGTCCTTAGCTTTGACCCAGTTTATCAGTTTGTATACTGCACAGGCTGTGCTCTCAGTGTTTTGTCTCCCTATTCCTGCCTGTTGGCGTCACCTGGTAGAGGTGTTATGGTTTATCTTGTTATGCACAATGTTGATTCTTCTCTCAGAACTAGCTAAATACATGGGTCTGGGGTATAGATCTTCAGAATTGGTTTGGCCACCGCTGTGTCAACTCGTGACACAGCACGTCTTGTGAATTCTCCGGCCGAACTTCCAAATAAACCATAAGTGTTTGCCATCAAAGTTCCTGCTCTCCTTGTGTCTCTCTGAGTCTCCATTGCTTCAGAAGTTTCCATCACACGGAGCAATTCATCGAAGGCCTCACAATGATAGTAGTAGTGTTAAAGATTTTGGGCCTGTTCAACTTATTTTCGACACAATTGTTTGTGTTTGTGCCATCATTTCAGTTGAATAATTTAATGTCCCTTGAACCCTACTCTAAGGAGCTCTGTGATGAGGGAAAGACCCTCATCTGCTAGTCTAAAGATTGGCCAGAAATGGAAACTTTCCCAAAGTTCTCACGGTTACTGTTTCCCATACGCTAAAAGACTTGCATTATTTTCAACCGAAAGCAAAGCATTTAGGAGGCGTGGCTGTAGAAATCATTCCAGATAGAGATATTTCTTACC